AACTAATTACAAAAGACAAAAACAAGTTCTATTCTCGCTCTTTATAAATCTAACAACTGAATGTCTCCCGAACTAAACCGTAACTGAAAACAGTTTGTCCTCAATAAAGTCATATACACAACTATATTCTATATACTAAGAAATAACCGACATGTCTAAAGCTCACCCCATAGCCTGCTCTTAATTCTTCCAGCGTACTTCCTGCCCGCTGAGCCACGGACGGCCCTGTCCATATAAAAATAAAGTCTACTTACCGCCGGAAAGGAAGTGAGGTGGTTCTGGTTGGCGAGGGATTATACCAGTGTATGCATAAGTGACAGGCCTGTGAGAACCAAACACACAGGTATGTCACTTATGAATATACTGATTTTTCCCTCGCTGGGGACGAAGCTACCGCTCTCTAGAAGTTTTCTGCGACACTGACTGTTGGACTCAAGATGGCGCCTGAAATGCTGACACACCCGGACACGTGACACCAGCCACTATTGGGCAAAACATCATAAGACGTCACAGGCTGGGCGGAGCAGCAGCAGCGCCACCCCCCGGCCGCAGCCCGTGTTCTTCCACTCCTTGTATGGAAGCTGCGACGTGACGAGTTGCAGAATGACTGAGATTGTACAAAGTGCATTGTGACATCGATACCTAGATGCCTGATGCTCAGAGGGACGCACCCCTGACAGAATTAAAGGCACAGTCCACTTTTTGCAAAAAAATAGTAAATGCGCCCAAGGTTATGTGCTTGTTCACACGTCTGAAAAAGAAGAAAAAGCTCATTGCAGTAATCACAGAGCTGTGACAGCCACCGTGTTCTGTCGCGAACGCCAACCCAGTCGAATTTGCCAACCTCACCAGCCAACCTTAGCCACCGGGACTAATGAGGAAACAGATTTATTTACAAAGTATTTTGTCCTAATCTTTTAATTGTGACCGTTGATGATATGCCATCCATGGCTGTAAATGGTGGGTGGCATTTTATGCACATTCACAAATGTGAATATCATAAGCAATTAAATAATATTGTCATTGCTTACGATGTTAATTGTGAATGTGCATAAAGTGCCATCCACCATTTACTGCCCTGGATGGCATACTATGGTCACAATTAACGATTACAAATTAATACTTTGTAAATAAATCTCTGTTTCCTCGTCAATCACGTCTGTGCGCAAGCGTAGATGGTGAGGTCGTCAAATTCGACTGGGTCAGCATTCTCAACAGAACAACCGGCTTGCAGCGCACTGTGTTGTGGAGCTGCAAGCCGGATCAGTGTGCTACAAATGGATATAAAGTATCTCGGAGGAGAATACAGTGTCTCCTCAGAATATTAAAGTGACATTAAAGTCAAAAATCTTTTTCCATCCCCCCCAATGTTAATGTCAGCACTTACCTTAAATTATGTCTCTTTTTCTTCATCTGTCCCTCCAGCGCAGCGGCGGGTCTCCGATCCATCGCTGACTCCTCTGAGCTTGCTGGCACTTCCTGTCACCTGCTGTTACCTGCCGGCTGCCATCTTGGTGATGGATGCTGGCAAAGAAAGGAGGCAACATTCACCCGGCGGGATAAGGTATGCCGCCGGGTTCCCTCCTCTCTCAAGCAACTGTCGGGCTCTCTGTCCATGACTGAGTGCCCGATTTTTACAGAGGGGGTGACACCAAAATGATTGTCAGTCATTTTGGTGTCACCTCTCCAATAGTGTCACCCAGGCAGTGGAGTGGGGTATTATTTTATATGTGGGGGTCAGAGAACAGGGGATTATTTTATATGTGGGAGTGTGGAGGGCAGCAATGTTTACATTGCTTTATGTTAATATTGTTGTTAATATTTATTTTTGTAACTTTATTCTGCCTTTAACATTTAAAAGTGAATTTCATAAGATAATTTAAGAGGGTAGGTTTAGGGGCGGAGTTAAGGCCGAGGCAGGGTAGGGGTTAGGTGGGGCAACTGGTGACAAGTAACTCTTTAAGGCCTGGCTAGTAGCTCAGGACTTGAAATTTTGTGCCCTGGTATAAGGGGTCCAAATTTGATGTGACAACACATATAATGGAAGTTTGAAGGAGACTTTGGTTGCTTATAATAGAAGAACCAGACTTATATTAGGGGTTCAACGTATGGTTCATACGTTATTTACTATGGAACAATATTTAGATGATATACAGAGAGAATTGGATTATTTACGGGGCCCTGCAGTAGGTTGGTTTTTAGATGTTAAATAGGTGTTTTGTTTTTTTTTAGTTTCAAGAGCCATAGAATAAAAACTCATATTGAAAAGTGAAAACCATTTGGAGGAATTTCTGTAGAAACGAAACATCTCTGCCCTACAGATTCGCATGCTTTAGAAACCAGGCCCGCATTCCCATAGTTTTCAGTTTGTGGTTTTATCCCCCTCTAGTGGACATTTTAAGTACTGCGTTTTTTCAGTTTAAAAAATTGTGTATTTTACTCCAATTTTCTTACATTTCTAAATGTACATTGCTTATATTATGCATTTGTTATCTCTTTTTAGCCCTGATGAAGATGGAATTTCTGACCCCCTGAAGTGCGTTGGCTGTTTCCTGTTTCCTGAGCACGGAGACGGCTTCCTGGCCAATCAGGAAGCCGGGCAGCGTGTAATGATTCGCCGCCCGGCTTCTTGATTGGTCAAGAAGCTGGCCAATCAGGAAGCCAGGCGGCGAGTCATTATCCTCCCCCCACTGGCCAGCAAGCCGGCTTGATGCTTCCTCGTCCTGAGGGAGAATGGAGGTGGCTTCTCGGCTAATCAGGAAGCTGGGCAGCGAGTCATTACACACCGCCCGGCTTCTTTAATGGGACTTTCGGTATTCGTTATCGGCGAAATTAAATATCGTCACTCGCACTTGATACAATATAATAAAATACCCAACCTTTTATTTAAAAAAACACTAAAAAAATATTTTTTCTATTTTTAATTTTTCTTAATTTAACTTTATTTTTGTTATTTGTTTGCATTCTGAATTTTTATTAAACTTTTTATTAAACTTGTGCTGAAGGTATCGGTTTAGGGTGCTTCTGAGTTCCTTTTCGTGGACAGATACAGTTGGCTGCCTTTTGACCCTCACACACACGTACTGCAAATGCGCCTGAATGCGGCACTGCCGTGTTCCGGGTATAGGTAGTGCACTGGTGCTGTGTTCGGTCGCTTGCGCAGCACGACCAGAGAGCTACCTGTACTTCGCATGCATCCCCTGAGCACAGCACCGAGCGACAAGGAAGGATTCAGACCTGGCCAGGAACGTGCATGTCATGGTGGCTCTGCAAGACAAAGGAGCCACCCTGTGAACGGAAACTCCTTATTCCAGAATATTGGAGGCAAAGACAACATGGCCCCAATCACACTTGCAAATGGAGCCGGATAGCATGAAACTGAAATTCCTGCCACTGCCTGCAGCTGTTTGCAGGCCATTTGCACGTAAACGCACATGCTGTGGGGGTGGAGTCCTCCATTGTAAGAAGTGTGTAAGACCTCTAATATAGGGAATTGAGGGTGGTTGCATTCATTCTAAAAGTATGTGAGGGGGAGTTGGGGTGGAGGCCTGCTTTATCAGGAGTGAGTCTTGCATTATGGGGAGTTAGGGTGGAGGCCTCCATTATAGGGTGTAGGGGTGGAGGCCTCCTTTATCAGGAGTGAGTCTTGCATTATGGGGAGTTAGGGTGGAGGCCTCCATTATAGGGTGTAGGGGTGGAGGCCTCCTTTATCAGGAGTGAGTCCATTATAGGGAGTTAGGGTGGAGGCCTCCTTTATCAGGAGTGAGTCCTCCATTATGGGGAGTTGTGGTGGAGGCCTCCTTTATCAGGAGTGAGTCCTCCATGTTGGGGTGGAGGCCTCTTTTATCAGGATTGAGTCCTCCATTATGGGGAGTTGGGGCGGAGGCCTCCTTTTAGCAGGAGTGATTCCATTATGGGGAGTTGAGGTGGAGGCCTCCGTTATCCGTAGTGAGTGCTCCATGTGGGGTGGAAGCCTGCTTTATCAGGAGTGAGTCCTCCATCATGGGGAGTTGGGGTGGAAGCCTCCATTATCAGGAGTGAGTCCTCCATCATGGGGATTTGGGGTGGAAGCCTCCTTGATCGGGAGTGAGTCCTCCATTATGGGGAGTAGAGATTGAAACCTCCTTTATCAGGAGTGAGTCCTAAATTATAGGGAGTTGGGGTGGAAGCCTCCTTTATCAGGAGTGAGTCGTCCATTATGGGGAGTTGGGGTGGAAGCCTCCTTTATCAGGAGTGAGTACCCCATTTTAGGGAGTTGGGATGGAAGCCTCCTAATTCAGGAGTGAGTCCTTCATTATGGGGAGTTGGGGTGGAAGCCTCATTTATCAGTAGTGAGTCCCCCATTTTAGGGAGTTGGGGTGGAAGCCTCCTAATTCAGGAGTGAGTCCTCCATTATGGGTAGTTGGGGTGGAAGCCTCCTAATTCCGGAGTGACTCCTCCAGTATGGGGATTTGGGGTGGAGGCCTCAATTATACATACTGCGGGAAATCTATAAAAAAAAATAAGGCTGTTGTCCATGACAACCAATCAGGTTCTCTGTCACTTTTAAAATGTAACCAAACATACGAAAGAGAGAAGCTGATTGGTTGCTGTAGGCAACCGCTCCAGTTTTTAGGGGCGAGCCTCCCCTAAAATGAGCGTGTCAGATTTGGGGAGCGAGGGGAAGTGGAGGCCTTTACTATTCAGAATGTGTAAGACCTCCATTGTGGAGAGAGCTTGCCTCCATTAAACAGTGTATCAGATTTGGGAGGTGGAGGCCTCCATTACATAAAGCTGGAGTCAGACCCCTTTATTTTACAGAGTGTGAGAGACCTTCATTATAGAGAGCAAAGCCTCCATTCTATGGCATGTGTCAGATTTAGGAGGTGCAGGCCTCCAACACATGTAGCCTGCCACGGAGGTTGGTGAGGACCAGATTACAGGGGGCACATTCCCTTACAAAGGAACCGTGAGGGAGGAGCTGCTGTTCTTCGCAATGACACAATAAACGGCGGACGTCTATGTTCCGCTCTAATCACATTGCGCAAGCACGTGACAGCACAGGGCAAACCCCGAGCGGGCACGTCCTCCCGCGCCTCTTACTGCAGGAAGCCCAGTGGCAGACGGAGACCCCGCCCAGGCGCCAGTTCGATGCCCTTACCATTGACTCCGCCCCGCGCTCGGCGTCCCGCCATTCCACCTGCGCGCCTCAGAGAGGAAGATAGGGTGAAGTAAGACGGGGCCTTGTTGTCACGTGTCCTGTATGAGGCGGGGCGGGTGTCGTTGTGTAGTGTCAGACCGTGACGTCGCTTTCAGCCACACGACGGAGCACAGTGAGGAGAGTTACCTCATTCTCTCACCTCTGTCCTGCCACACACTGCCTTGTACATGGCGGTACCAAGGAGGGCCCCATCACATACCCCGCCCCTCATTTCCTTTTATATCAATCATTTTTTATTAATTTAATAAATTTAATGCATAAATGACAGGCTAAGTCCAGCTTTGTGACCCTGTTCCTTAATACTCCCATATATAGGGTGAAACATGGTGCCATGCCCCATCCCCAGGGTGCTTCTCCCTATGAATGTGTCCTGTATATGGTTTACTTCAACGTGGCTCTGCCCACAAGCCACGTCATCCATTCACAGGGATCGGTGAATGGAGAGACTACAAGCCCCATGGTGGCAGAAGGACTTGCAGATTGCACTCAAACCCCCATAACCGAATGCCCCATAGGCTGGGGGAATAGTCTGCAAGAACCAGAGCATTGCAACCCACATACACTGATCACCGTTGCAATGCTCTGCGGACTCCAATTAGGCTCCCTCCCAAAAAATGCAAATTTTTCCTTTAACTAACCTGTGTGAGTGTATTTTTTACATTTTTTTTTGCAATAGGTGGACTTTGCCTTTCAAATTTGTATGCTGGCCATGTGACTGCACAGCCACCGTTCGTACCTGTTTCCCTTAGCATGGGGCAAGCGGGGTACACGTAGCTGGCAGCGGCTCCTCCTTCCTGCATGGAGTTACAGGACGCATGACATGCCTGCGTCTGCCACGCCCTCGCCCAGGACTGATGTGTTTATTGACATCTCCCAGCAGGATCTGCTATCAGCCGGGGGGGGGGGGCCAAACGGAATATGCGTGTCGTTGGAGCGCCCGTTGGGGGTGAA